CGCGCAAAATACCTTTTGGTTGCCATTATTTGAGCCAATTTTTCGTATTGCCCGTATTACCGCTCTCGAAAACACAGAAATCGAGAAAATTCATTTATGATGACTTTTACAATCATTCACAGTATATTTTACTTAAATTTTTTATAAAATTATATTATTTAAACCCACGAAAATAACAATTGAAACTTTCTCCGTCCACAAATTTGCAACTTAGAAAAACGGAACTACGATCGAAATGTAGAATAAGAATAATCGTAAATTTCGAAGATTGATCGAAAGGAAACGGAACGCAGAATACCAAAATTGCCAAACGGAGAAAATTTCGATTCGAGTCGAAATGCAGAATAGGGCTGTATGTCTTTGACATGTTGTTCTTTTGTTTGAGAATAATTTATAACGTCACCCACGTAAACGTAACAGCTTTTTTCCTATTTGTTCCCTAAGGACGTCGTCTATAGCTGTTTGACACATACTGGGAGCGTTTTTTAAACCGAATGGTAGCCTACAAAGTTCATACTTTCCGTTGCTTACGGAAAGGGCTGTTTTCTCCCTGTCTCGCTCAGCGAGCTCGATCTGGTGAAACCCTGACTTCAAATCGAGGGTAGTAAAGTATTGTGCCAGTCCCATGTTTTATAAAATCGACATGACATTTGGTATCGGGTATTTATCGTCATTGGTATTTCAACTTGCGAAAATCTACTACCAGACTTTTTTTATTGCCAAACTCATCAATATCCTTCTTGTCTATGACCCAAATTGGATTATTGTAGGAAGACCTAGATGGTCTAACCTAACCATTTCGTAAAAATTATTTTAGTTCGTTAATAATAAAATCGACTACCCCTATTGGATATGGGTACAACTTAGAATAAATCGGTTCTTTGTTTTATACGAATCGTAGCAACTACAGTGTTATTATACAGCAGAGATTCGTTGTGATCGGCGAAAGCCTGTGATTTTTTTTCTATCATATTTAAAAATTTCCCTTTTATTGCAAAGGGTACGCTTTCCTGTTGAATTTTTACAGCATTAACGCTCTCACTTTTTAAGTTCTGAACACATTGAAAACGACGAGCTACCGACCACAGCTTCCAATTTGTCATCTTTATTATCTAAGCGCTTTGTCGATGGCGACATGATTTCTTTGAACGCGGCAGCGACATCAAGAATTTGTATGAGTTTGACATAAAAGAAGAGGAAGAACCTTATCTGTCGCCAGAAAAATAGAAATAGATCTAATCTGGCCACAACCACAGCCGTCGCGTAGCCCGGTCGTCGCCAAAATAATTATCTACATAAGAGTACGTGTTAAAATAATTTGACAGCTGTGGTTTGTAGCTCGTCGTTTTCATTGTGTTCGGGCTATAAGAAATAAAGTTTTCACTTTTAAGTAATAACTTTTCAGGTCCGAAATCATGTATTATTATTTTTCTTTTTGAAGGTCCACGACTGCATTGACTTGCGTTAACAAGTCAAGCCCAACTATCGCGTCAAAGGTTATCAAATTTGGTAATATAAAAAAATCAGAAGTTATACCAAACAAATTAACTTTACATTTCTCCCTTACTTCGCTTTTGCCATGAACTGACTTAACTACGAATGGTTTAGTTAACGATCCGCCCTGCCATATGTACGGATTTTTCCGTACAGTACGGATTTGCAGGGGTGAAAATGGTTGTACGGATTCAACGTACGGATTTTTAGCTTTGCGTCAAGATGTACGGATTTTCATACGGATTTTTGGAGTGTTTTTTCATATTGTAAAAATTCGCCTGTTTTAGATATATTCGTAGGCTTCTTTTAGTTTCTGAACCCTCCATTTTTTTATTAAATATATATAATATATATGATATAATGCCATTTGGCTCAGTAAAGGGCCATGCTCTCTACCCAACAACAAGAAACTATCGGAACTGGGATTGAAAAGCAGAAAGGTAATGTCTCTGATAAAATGCAAACTGTGTTTAGTGAAATCGCTGCTTAAAGAGCTGATCATCAAAAGCTCTCTCGTTAATCAATGCTCTTCATGAGCACGATGGAGAGAATACAGAAGGTATTTACACGAAAAATTAACCTTTGTAAAAAATTATTTTCTAGGCTAACTATGGGTCGCTGAACATGAAAACAAAACCCACTTTTTGTTCAAAGAAGCGTTTTCGAGATTTTTCCGAAAAACGTGTTTTTTGGTACTTTTCGCAGTTATTCGTAAATATCTCTTGAAAAGATCATAAAATCGACGCAATCAACCTACCGTTCGAAAGGTAGTGATGTGCCCTTTACTAAAAGATATAACTTGTGCAGATTTTTATAAAAATTATTTGTGTTACTAGCAACCAAAGTCGAAAAAAGTGTAATTTTCAATCAATTTTTAAAATTACACATTTTTAGTTTCTTATTTTCGATTAAAAAAATTGTTTTTTAATTTTTGGTTTTTAACTTAAGTAAAACCTTAGTCATTACAGCAAATGTTGAGTCTAAGGTCTTCCAAATCGGATAAGAAATGTAGATGTTATGGAGCCCTGAGTAAAAATTTTAACTTTGCATTTTTCACACAATCACGCTTTTGGTCGAAAATAAGCTTTTCCCCTTAAAATTTTTCGTTTGTGTTGGGTAGAGTCTTCTCGAATTTGCATCCAGCAGTAGTCACCCATCATGCCTTCGCCCCAAAAGCCTTCATATCGTTTTTCGAATGCTGCGATGTCCTGATGGAATCTTTCGCCTTGCTCATCGCTCTCTGCCCCCAAATTCAAAGGAAAAGCATTTTCAGTGACATGCGGGCTCCTGGAAAAGAAATAATTTTTAACTTCTAAAGAACATGTATAAAACGAATCTACGATATAGATTATACCAATAGCCTGAAATGTTTGCAATATTCTATCTATCAATTGACGCGCTTTAGAACTTCGGTTGTTACCCAGGAAACTATTTATGTACAACGTCACGAAAAGCCGTCCATGCTCCTGCTTCAGCAAAAATTGTTTGTCTGCAAACAATTGCTTGATCTGTGGGCCAACAAATATTCGCGATTGAACACTTTAGGCCCTTGGTTTTTTATATTGCCGGTAGCTTACCACTTAGTAACACTGGTTCCACTCTATGCAAAAGAAAACACAGAATTTTTCACTTTAAATTTACAAATAGTGTAGGAGGTTTTATTGAAAAATCGAGGGGTCTGCTCGGAAACGTCCGCACGTATGAAAATCTTAACGATTGTGACTTTAATAAACCGAGTTTTAAGTTGACGTTTGTTTATCTGTATACATGTGTGTGTGTGGATGTGTGTATTACATGTGTATGTGTGGGTGTGTGTATTACATGTGTAGTGTGTGCTAATGGTGACATTTGGGGGCGGTAGCTACGCGAGCGGAAGTGGCAGCCTTGCCATCGCGAAAGGACCCATTTAGCCATACCGGCCCCCCTAGGCGTATACTTAGCCTAGTAGGCGCTGTAGCTGTTGCAACGTCTCCACAAAGTTGCCAAGTCCGGTTGGGCGGCGGTGGTGCGACCTGTAGTGCGTTTCTGTATCTATTGCGATATTATATCGCAAATTTTGTCAGAACGCGGTATCGCAAAGTTCATGTCGCAAACGATAAACGAAGTGTTTCTGTAACTCAAAAAACTCACCTTGCGATAAATTGGTGGTGAGTATTGTAAAAATTACACGAATTGTCAGAATGAAGAACATATGTTCTTGTATAGTTGTAAGAAATTGAAGTAAAAGTAATAGTTTTTATATATTTTGATTATTTAAATCATTTAACCGATTAATGTAAGTACCAAAACTAAATGAATATGCATTTTTCGTTGATTCAATCGTTTTTTTTTTTCACTATTAAAATATAGAATGATGGTTGCACATCTACTTGCATTGTCTGATGATCAAAGGAACATGCNCATTTAAAATATAGAATGATGGTTGCACATCTACTTGCATTGGCTGATGATCAAAGGAACATGTTGCGCATTCATAGGCGCTTTTTAAGGGATAATACTGATCCATTTTATTTGCCAGAAGCGCGTTTCATTGAGTTATTTAGATTGAATAAGGAGTCTGCGCTGGAACTTCTTGGTGAAATAAGTCCGTATATGAAGGATGGTATACGAATAACTTTTGTACCAAAGGCTATAAGGATGGTATCGGCATTGCATTATTATGCTACTGGATCCTTTTTAAGAGATTTTGGGAAAGATTTTGTGTGCCCAATAAGTAAAACTACGATTTGCAGATCTATTAATGAAGTGACTCTTATCATTCAAAATAAGATAATGATGAAATACATTAAATTTCCAACTAGTTTGGAAATGAAAAATATAATTCGACAAAGGTAATAATACATATCGTTACCTTAATTCACAAAAGCGCTAACCAAAACTTTTTTTCGAAACTGCGTTTTTCACAGATTTTGGCAGTATATATTAAAATATACCTTTAATAAAAATTTTAAAGTGTTAGCCCCAAAAACAATGGAGTTAAATGCCACTTTTTCAAAAGCTCTTTTATGTTGTTTTTGCATCTCCTGTAAAATAAAAAAATTGTTGGTTCGGGCCTTTGTGAATTAAGGTAATGATATATGTATGTACATTAGAGTGGTCCAAAAAAATAAAGTCTGAATTTGATTGCCGGCACCCCTAGGATTGCTCTACATCGAAAAAAATTTACCCCTAAGNTATAAAACTCTTGAAAATCAATATTTTTCGATCGGAAAACTGTGGTTCTCTTAAGGAGACTTCCAGTATCAATATACAATTGTTTATTTAACCATTTTGTATGCAATTGCCTATTATTACTGGGAATCTCCTGAAGATAAGCAGTGTTTTTCGATCGAAAAATATTGATTTTCAAGAATTCTACACTATTTCTACGAAAAGTTGTTTTTCCCCATATAAAATACATGAAAAACTTTGAGCGCTTTGAGCACTCCCTAATTTTTTTTATTTCAAAATAAACAAGTAAGAAAGTCTAAGTTCGGCCGGGGCCGAANTTTAGCTGGGTATGCACGTTTCGGGGGAAGTACACACGATGCATTTATTTGGGAAAATTGTAAAGTTAGGCAATTAATGCAGCAACAATATGAGCAGAACATATACACGTGCTGGCTTATTGGCGATTCCGGATACCCCTTCAGCCTTGGTTAATGACACCTTACCGAAATCCTGAAACTAGGGGCGAAGAAAATTTCAATAATCACCACATACAAGCTCGTAACTGCATTGAGCGATTGAATGGTGTATTAAAAAAAGTATTCGCGTGTTTGTCAAGTGATCGCGGCATTCTTTTCAACCCAGTTTATTCTGGCGCTATCATCAACGCTTGGCTTACGCTGCATAATTTCAGAAACTTGCACAATATGCCTATGCCCGAAATAAATTATACCCATGATACCAATATAGATATAGGTGAGCATAAGACCATGGAATCTAATGCTACAATCTTGCAGGATGCACGAAGGGTTCGCGAAAACCTTGTTAGAAACAATTTTAATTAAATTTATTTATATAGCATATACACGCAGTTTTCAACCGGCACTATTATAAAAATATACTTTTGACGCAGCTGTATGTTTATAAGCGAATCCAAACTCGTCAAGTTCTCCTGGCGTTATATGGTGACCAACAAACTTACAATATTTGATTTTATTAAGTAATAATTTAAATAAATTTTACTTATTTAACATGTGGCAACCCTTAAATCTGTTTGTCCACGTTATATTACTACATATATAAAAATATATGTATTATATTATATTATATAAATACAGTTCATACCATTACAACTCAAATTCAAAACCATATAAACCGAAGTTTAAAACTTTATAGAAAACTTAAGAGGTTCAAAACATCTTCATTTAAATTTCAAACTTTCTTCTCAGAAGTTTTAACATTTTTTTGAGTATACCTACAGTTTTTCATTGATTCTTGTTTCATTTAAGTATAATACTGTGCAAGTTTCTATTGGCTAAAAATTACCGTAATAGGGGCGGCTAATATTTCGAGAACTAAAGAAACCGATTTTCAAAATGTGGAAAGTTAGTTGAAAGACCTTTCCTTTAATATGTATATATTTTTCGAGAGAAGATAAAAAAAAAAATATGGCATTTTTTAATAAAGATGTGTGTTTGCGGCTCTTTTTTTCTTTTTATATGAAACGATATTTTAATATACATTTAGTGAAATATCATGTGCCGAAGAATTTTTGTTACAAATCATACATACAGTAGCGGCAGAAATAATAGACTCGCCTTACTTTGAAGAGTTTTGGCTATTATTCCATGGTTTACTTTATGTTTAATATTTTTTTATAAACGCCTGGCTAGCTATACAACAAGCACCATATAAATCCCCTTTTCAAGCTTTATACAAAAATTAAAAAAAATTGACTAATTTTCACCAAATTTTCAAACTCTTTATTCAGAATTTTAGAAAAATGTTTGGTTTGCAGTTTTGTAGCCCATCCAATTTTAGTATAATAGAGTGCAAATTTCAAGTCACTAGAAAATACCGTTAATTTTGTTTGTTGACGATGCAAGGCATTCTCTTCCATATAAAAAAAATTGTCGAGTACACTTTGTATGGGAAAAAATGTGTGACACCGTCAGCAAAAAAAATTCTTAAAAATCAACGGTATTTTTTAGCTAATTGAAACTTGCACTTTATTATACTAAAATTGAATGGGCTACAAAACTGCATACCAAACATTTTTCTAAAATTCTGAATAAAGAGTGAAAATTTGGTGAAAATTAGTCAAATTTTTTTAATTTTTGTTCAATGTTTGAAAAGCGCATTTATATGATGTTTGTTGCATAACTACCTAGGCTTTTATAAAAAAATATTAAACATAAAATAAACTAAATAAATATAGTCAAAATTCTTAAAAGTACGACGAATCAGTTATTTCTGCCGCCAGAGTATATCAAATTAAATGTATTTTTGTGCCCTTTCTGATAAATGTATCTTTTAATATAATAAATTGTGTGTTAAAAATGTTGCCATGATTTCGTTGTTTTTCTCGAAAAATATATGTACTATATATACATACAGATACACATATCAAATGAAAGGTACTTCAATATTTTTCCAACGATATCCCTATTTTGAAAATCGGTTAAATAATTTTCGAAATATAAGGATTTGAAAATATTGAAAATTCAGCTTCGATGCAAGCGACGCTTATGCATATTTGTAATATACTTTGCTTTATTTCTTAAATATAATGAAGTCTAAGAAAACTACCCACTTTATTGTATTTTATTTATTAATGTTAAAATATTTGAATTCATTTCCTTGAGTATATTAATAATATCATCTAATTTTCTCATATGAACTTCGTTCTGAGCTGACAGTTCTTTTTTGACTTCTTGCAGCGATAAATGAAATGACGATTTGGATGCGCAGATATTGAACGTCTTCTCAGCAGAAGCGGCCTTAGACTTACTTGGCATTTCGTCTTCGATGAGATATTCAGCCAAGTACTCGTCTTCGAGTGCCTCATCCACGTTCTCCTTAAATACAAAAAATTTAAAGTATTTCAAATATATTTATGCATGCACAAATTAAAAAAAAAAAATAGTATACCTCATGGACTCCGGCTTCAATTGTTTTACCATCTCCATCAAGACTGCTGCTGGAAATAACTCCAATACCTCCGCATCCAAAACTTCACATGGTTTCGGTCATTCACTGGGAGGACGGTTGCCGGTCAAATTTTTGAATCTGTTGTAGGCACTTTGTTGCTTCTTCACTGCAACCTTCCAGTCCGACCAACACTTCACCATTTATAATTAAAAAATATATTTTGGCATTAAACCAATAAATATTTTGCAGTTCATACCTTCTTCCACTGTTCAGTGGTCTTGCATGCACCTCCGCATGCATTTAGCTCCTCCCTCAAACCGTTTGGATTTTTGTTGTTTTGTTATTTTTCCCGTCCGTACTTTTTTCTGTAAAAAAAAAAAATTTTTTTGCTTGAAATTAATAAAAAAAATCAGTTAAAATCATACAGACCTCGCTCATATTGGAAGCTTTTCGCTTCGAAAACCAAACTTCACTTGACTTACAGCCAGTGACATATTTATCGCATCATTTATCGCAATATTTTTTTCAGCACAGTTACAGAAACTCTCGCTTGCGATAAAAGTGAAAAAGCGTTATATTTTACGATATTGGGTGTATCGCAAGGTTACAGAAACGCACTACTGGACTGCTGTCGGCCGCGGTGGGATGATGGGGGGCTGTAGTGAGCCGTTGGTAGTCTCCGAATTTGGACATTCTGCTGCTGGCCATGATGCCGGCGTCGATTACCTGGAGCTGGAGCTAGTTGCTGTCTTCGTGCGAGTTTGCGCCGTGGACCCGACGGGAATTGGTGAAACACGGTGTGATGGCGCCTTTGACATACGTGGCACCGGCTGCGTGAGGTACATTCCCATGTCATGTGGGACAGCGCGAGGCAGTTCAAACAGTGCCCGTGCGCCCGTGGCACTTGCTGCTGCTGGGCCGGTTGCAGGGGCCGAAATATAGAACAGGCGCTCAATGCGTGGCGCCGGTGACAGAGGCCACAAAGAAGGACGCCTTGATCCAGCTCCTCCGTTAATGGCAGTTCGAATGCTGCGGGTGCAGCGGATGCTGAGGGTGCGCCTTGTGGCGCTGCGGTTGCTGATGTTGCCGCTCGCCGAACGCCTGGGCGAGGGGATGGCACTGGAGCTGCTCCGGCGAATGATGTGGCAGACCGTGGTGCCGCAATCGGTGGCGCTGATGCCCGCGGTGCTACTGCTGCGTTGGTCCGGACTGCCGGCGTAGGGTTGGAAGAGGGGGTAGCCATGTCAACGTCCATTTCTATGAAACGAAAGGCGACTTTAGTGTTTTGCGGGGGAGAAAGCATGCATGCTAACGCTCAATTATTTGGTTATTCAGGTGTACATTATTGAAGGATCTGTTTATGTACGTTAATTGAGTTGCGTGGTTTCCGGTTTATTTGCGGTTTTAGGTATGACGGAGTTGCGATTTTGGTTTTTCATTGATTGTTGGCGTTTTCGGTCGGTAGAAGGCAAAGTTTTACGAGCGGTCGAGTGAGTATACCGCTTTGTGTGCGCAAATCTACGACTCGTTTGTGACCATCAGAGCCACGATGTACNAAGTTTTACGAGCGGTCGAGTGAGTATACCGCTTTGTGTGCGCAAATCTACGACTCGTATGTGACCATCGGAGCCACGATGTACTTTTTCGATTCTTGCGAGGCGCCACTCGGTGGGGGGAAGACACTCATCGTGGATGAGAACACATTCTCCGATTTTAGGCTCCTCTTGAGTGTTCTTCCATCTATATCTTTTATGGAGGTCTTTTAAATAATCTTCCTTCCATCTACGACTGAATTCATGATGGAGAATTTTCAGTCGTTCCCATCGATTCATTAAAGATAAGGATTGCTCGTCTGGTTCGGGTATGGCCAGAAGTGGAGCTCCTCTAAGAAAATGCCCAGGGGTGAGGGCAGTGAAATCGGAGGGATCTTGCGAGAGCGCAGAGAGGGGCCGTGAATTAAGAACGGCTTCTATTCGGGTTAATAATGTAGTAAATTCTTCAAAGTTAAATTTGTGTGTGCCAGCGGTTTTTTAAAATGCAAAAAAAAGCTTTTTACAGCTGATTCCCATAGACCACCCATATGTGGGGCACTTGGTGGGATAAATTGCCAATCAATGCCTTGGGGTGCGTATTTTTTAACGATTTCAGGCGAGACTTCCTCTATAAATTTTACAAATTGTTTTTCAGTGGCTATTTTGGCTCCGACAAAGGTTTTTCCAGTGTCGCTCATTATTTTGGATGGAAATCCTCGCCGTCCGACGAAGCGAGCAAATGCCGCGAGAAAAGCCGCAGTTGTCAGATCAGAACATAGCTCGAGGTGTACTGCCTTTGTCGTAAAGCATACAAAGACAGCCACGTAACCCTTTGTGAAGGTTGAAGTCCTTAACATGGAAGCCTTTATCTGGAAAGGGCCAGCAAAGTAAACACCAGTGGTAGTGAAGGGCAGAGCGAAAGTGCAGCGTTCAGGTAGAAGAGCTGCCATGATCTGCGTGCGCATCTTCTGCTTATGTATAGTGCTGACCTTGCACATAAACATGCATTTTTTGATCTGTGGCTTTAGTCATGGAATATAAAATCCTTGTCGGACCATTTGTTGCATGAGGCAATGTTCGGCATGTAGCATTAATAAGTGGAGAAATCTGAGGTATAGTGTTGCAAAGGGGGATTTTTCTGGTATTATTATGGGGTGGCGTTCGTTATATGTGAGGCTGGAGTTCGCTAACCGTCCATTAGCACGAAGCAAACCTTTCGTGTCTAAAAATGGATTGAGTACTAAGATTTGACTCTTTTTGTCAATTGGTTTTGATTCTCTTAGCATTAACATTTCGCGGCTGAAATAGTGCGTTTGAGTGTATGCAAGAAGAGAAACCTTTGCTTTTTGTAGGTCTTGATGCGTTAACATATTATCTGGGGAATTCGGTGTTTTCTTCACCTTATTTTGGAGGCGCTCTACGAATTTGAACATATAGGCGACTACCCTTAGGGCTCGGGGGAACGAGAAAAATCGTTCTAGGATGTCAGTGTCATCCAATATTGTGTGAAAGGTTTCAACTTTTCGACTTTTTGGGGCAATTATGTTGCGTATGGGGGATTGTGGCCAGAGTTGTCGTGATTCTATTAGCCAGCTGGGGCCGTTCCACCAGAGTGTGGTGGTGGCGAGGTGCAGGGGTTTGCAACCTCTTGTGCCAAGATCGGTGGGGTTATCAGCACTGGCTACATGTCGCCATGTTGTTGGCCCAACTAAATCAAGTATTTGGGCTGTGCGATTGGAAACATATGTTTTCCATGAGTGGGGTGGTTTTTCTAACCAAGCTAATACGATCTCTGAATCTGACCATAGATATAATTTTTGATTGATCATGTTTAAATGCGTTTGCACAGTTGAGGCTAATTTTGCGAGTAGTAGCGCGCCACAGAGTTCAAGTCGTGGTAAACTTAGCGTTTTGAGAGGTGCCACCTTGGCCTTTGCTACTAATAAATGGCTTGAAATTGTGCTGTTAATTTGGGTGCGCACATATATAGTTGCGCAATATGCCTTTTCAGAGGCGTCATAGAAGCCATGCAGTTCTACTTGGTATTCGAGTGAGTAATTTACCCATCTAGGGATTTGTATCTCTGCAATAGCGTGCAAGTTGTTAGCAAATTGGGACCATTTTACCAAGCGAAGTGGTTAGTTGCTCGTCCCATTCGGTACCGTCTAGCCATAATTCTTGTATCAGGATTTTCGCTTGTATCATAATTGGCGAAAGCCATCCTGCGGGGTCTAAAAGTTTCGCTACAGCCGACAGAATTTGTCTTTTAGTTATTGCGGATTGAGCAGATATCGACTCAAGAGTATATGAGAATTTATCTGAGATCGCATTCCATTGTATGCCCAGGGTTTTTGTTGTACTTTCCTTTTCGAATATTAGGAAGCTTGAATCTATTAAATTTTCTTTATTTACATCTTTTAGGGTTTTGGGGTGATTGGCGGTTATCTTTTTTAGGGGGAACCCTGCTGAGTTGAGGGCTTGTATCACTTGTGATAGTGCTTCGTACGCTTGGGGTAACCTGTGGCTTTTAACACCGGGGTTGCTAGGGGTAATTTTTCTTTTGTATCGTTTGCCAATTCGTAAAGTGTTCGAATGGTAAGAAAGGGGGCGCAATTTATGCCAAATGTCACCGTTTTGAGTTTATAGTCACATATTGGACTATTTGGTGAATTTCGAAATATAATGCGCTGAAAGTCTTGATCGTCTTTATGTACGAGTATTTGTCGGTACATTTTTTCGACGTCTCCGTTAAATACGTATTTGAACATACGCCACTTTAAAATCAGAAGCATTAAATCGGGTTGTAATGTCGGCCCTGTGTGCAAAATGTCATTCAAAGAATTGCCCGAACTTGTAGATTTCGAGGCGTTGAAGACTACTCTTACCTTGGTTGTTTTTTGTCTGGTTTTACAACCGCATGATGGGTAGGTAAAATGAGGTGTATTTACCTTTAGTTATCTTTTCATATGGATTTACTTTTTCCATATGATCTAAGCCGAGATATTCTTCCAGGACACCATCGTATGCTGATTTAAGCTCGCCTTTTTTAAGTAGGTTTTTTTTCATACTTAAAAACTGCTGAAGCGCAGAGGTTCGGGAGCGACCTAGGGCGAGTGAATCTGGGAACTCGGGCTTAAATGGAAGTCGTACTACATATCGACCAGTTTGTGCACGCGTTGTTGTGGCCTTGTAGTAATCCGCGCAAATTTTATCTTCTGGGGTAGTAACTTGTATGGGGGGAGTTCTTCTAACTCCCAAAATCTTTTTAATTAATCTTCAACTTGAGTTGTGAATACCGGTATTTTTTCTTTGACTTGGCCGCTTAGAATCCATCCGAAGATGGTATTTTGGGCTAATAGGGTATTCGAGATTTTTTCAATGCCTTCTAGCATTATTTGGGGTATTAGGTCACTGCCTAATAGGATATCAACTTGCGCGGGGGAGTGGCAATTGGGATCCGCTAATTTGAGGTGGGCGAATTCTTGACGATCTTTGCCGTTTATTTTATAGCATGGAAGCATATTTGTTAGTCGCGGCAGAACTATAACTTGTGCTTCTATTCTTACATCCGCATTGGGGGAAATCAGGGTTAATGAGCACATTTTATTACGAGTTTTGTATTACTCTTTCACCCATTCCAGAAATTTCAAAGTTTGAGGTTGTTGTAGGGAGTTTTAATCGGTTTTGTGCTTTTGATGAGATAAACGATCTTTGTGAGCCTTGATCGATTAGAGCTCTAAGTAATTCTCCTCGATGTTCAATCGAGACAATAGCGGTTGGCATAAAATTTTGCTTTCATTTTCAGAATGAAGCGCTTGTATATTAGCTGTTTTCGAACAGCATGGTTTTTCGGTTTCAACTTCGGGGTTTTCGGGCCTAGTTTTTGCAACTAGCCCTGTGGCTCTTTAAGAGTCAGAGCTATTTTGCCTCTTTTGGCAGTATACACAATTAAATTTACTCTCACAGTCTTTTTGCGTGTGAGAGTGTGAGAAGCAATTTGTGCAAAGCCTGTTGTTTCTGGCGACATTATATCTTTCGGTCGTCGTAAGTTTTTTAAACCTCTCGCAAGATCTTAAGGGGTGACCTCCTTCACAAAATTCGCATGACGTATGTTTATTGTCGTTCATAAATGATTGCGATCTACTAAAGCTTCTATTATGTGAATTGTGATTACTGGCTTGGGGTTTTATGAAGCTTCTATGTAGATCATTTTGTGTATTTTTAGCTTTTGTAATTTTTGTATCTTCCCTCTCTGCGATTTCGTACTGGGTAGGTACAAAATCTTTCATTTGTTGCCCCGTCGGGCATTTTTTATGGGATAAGAGCGATTGCTCCCATAAAAGTAACGATTTTTCTGGTAAAGTTGCGGCGCAAATATTTACCAGAACAGGGTCCCAGTTATCTGTGGGAATATTTTGAGTGGATAAAACTGATAGACAGTTTGAGACAGTATATGTGGACTGTAATTTAATAAACTCTTCACTCGTTTCTTTTTGAATTCTCGGTAGATTCATTAAAATCGTTACTTGTTTATCAACCAGTACTCTTTCATTTTCGTATCTTTCTTTAATGCTTCCCAAGCCAGATTGAAATTATCGTCATTTAATGCGAATTGTTTCACTATACTGCCTGCTTGACCTTTACACCCCTACTCTGGAACCCGAATTTTCGTAATTCGTAATTCGTAGCTACGTTACGATAAACGAAAAATCGACATGCTGCAACACTTGCGGAAACCTGTGCAGCATTGCCAGCTATCAGTTGTTTTTCGAAGACAGCTGTATGAAGAAAAACAAAGTGGAAAGGAACTAACAAAAGATTCGTCAAGTGCTTATTTATTGTAAAATTTTTTTATTTTACATATTTTGAAGGAAACGATGGATTCTATTCCATTTGCAATTATATCAGCAGAGTAAGAGCGCGCTATGGAAGTGAATTCACAAAGCTTTGCGGAGCTGTCGGGCATACTAACCATGGACGCATCTATGTCAGCTTCTGGTTTTATTGTTCA